TTCTATCAGACACAATCTCTCCACCAAAGATTCTCAACACCCTAAATGGAAACGACGAGACCCAAACAGTCCTCAGCAGGCAAAATCAAACGCCTGGTACTCACCAATGAAGGTAGAACAAAACTTCAAATACATACCCAGATAGAGAGTTCTATGAATACCCACGGTTCGTGACTCATGTTGATGACAGATTCATTTCGACATTGACCAGTTTGTATACAGAGAGGTTGAGGCCTGGCTCAGAGATTCTTGACCTCATGAGCTCATGGGTCAGCCATCTACCTCCAGAAGCTGAGTACAAGAAAGTGGTGGGGCATGGCCTTAATGCCCAAGAGCTGGCAAAGAATCCTAGGCTGGACTACTTTCTTGTTAAGGATCTCAATCAGGATCAAAAGCTAGAATTGCAGGATTGCTGCTTTGATGCTGTGTTATGCACTGTTAGCGTGCAGTACCTTCAACAGCCCGAGAAGGTTAGATTAGGTTACTTTGTTTTTGCTTCCCGAAGGATCTAGTTAATTCCTAAACATGATAATGCCTGCTAGGCATGTGGTTTCATGCTAGACTACAAATTTAAGTTGTCTTTTGATTCATTTCATATTCAAAGTTTAGTTCTCATTCTCGTATTAATCTTAAAATGCATAATTCTAACATAATTTTTTGTATTTAAGTTATCATCGCACCCCATTTTGAATTTTTTGACAGTAAGGTGAACCTAAACTTTCACATTAAGAAATTCAAAGTCGGGGTGGAGTTAACTCAACCACAAGAAAATAAAGTTCTAAGTATACATGATCAAGTTCATATAATTAGAAGTACAAACTGAATGAAAAATGATTCAAACACAACAACAGTTAATGGGGGATTTGAGGTGCACTGAGACTTTGGTTTAGGTAATCAACGGAAGAACATCTTTTGACAGTAACAGCATCATAGTTATGGTTCTACAAAAATGCTACTAGCGTACTGAAAAAAGCTCAGCTAACCTGGCTATGCACTTCACTAGATAACCCTTGGAACTTATATGAAATTTGTGGAGCTGTCAAATCGACATCTTCAGCTAGGCCTCACCTGCTGAGCCCCACCAAGAATCAAACTTAAAAAGCCAGAAAATGCAACATAACTTAGCACTTTGTAAGAAAAAGAAGAGAGAACTAACAAGTTCTTGATTATAAATGCTAAAGAAAAGCAGGAAAAAAAGTGAGGTATGATAGTGCAGCAAGGAAAGATGTGGTCCTGGTTCAAATTAGAATAGCAGAAAATGATTAAAGCAGTCAATTTATCATGCAACTAAAATTTAACAATTCTTCATTGATTATAATAATCTGCAGGTATTTGCAGAAGTTTTTCGGGTGCTAAGACCAGGAGGTGTATTCATTGTGAGCTTCAGCAATAGATTATTCTATGAGAAAGCTATTGCTACATGGAGAGATGGGACTGCATATAGTCGCCTACAACTGGTTGTGCAATATTTTCAGAGTGTAGAGGGTTTCACTCTACCAGAAATTATACGCAAGTTACCCAATGCTGGTGGCGCTCAAGAAGAAAAATCACCATTTAATCAGATCATGAGTATGTTGGGATTACTACCCAGAGCAGACCCCTTTTATGCAGTGATAGCTTACAAGAACTTTAAGCCTGTATACGAATAAACAAGAACTGAACCCCCCCAAGTTTGAAGATTTGGTGCATTTATTGCATTTTGTCAATTCTGGAGAACGTCAAATTATCTACCACTTGTGCACACAAATTTAAAACATTTTATCCTGTAAAGATCATATAACTACCCAAATCTTGGTCTTTCAAAAGCCAAAACAACAATTACTAATCATTTCACATCGAGTACAACATTGTATAAGAACTTTGGGCTTAAAACTTTTAAAATTTTATTCAAATCATGAAATTCATTTAAGATTTAGAACTGTTCCAAATATTAAAATTTAATTGCAACTGAATTCAAGTCTGACTGCAACAATAATATATATCAAATTCTACAAAAATTGATAAACTTGAGAAGTAAAAAGTAAGTCAGTTTAAAGAGAAATAACTATAAACCATAAACATATATGATACACATATATTTTTTTTTCTTATAAGAACCATAAACACATACCTTGACATACCTACTGGACTATAAATGCATAAAAATATGTATTAAATTTCGTAGAATGTTTAACAGGTCCGTGGCTCATTGCAAATGAAAATAAAACATTTATAATGGAACTCCCTGCAGAATTCATCTGGAAATTAGATGAATTCAATTGTTTATTTCTTCCAAACAAGCCTTACTCTAGGCTTTGCACATCATACTGTGCAAAGCATCATGATGAAATCCATCAATCAGCAAAACCAACAACTACCAAACCATTTGACGTCAACAACAAAATTAAGTAAAAACTTTGGGCACAAAGCTTTTAAGGCTTTACTTACTCTACAACATATACATCATACTGCACAAAGCATCATGACCAACCCCGTCAATCAATCATCAAAATATGCTTCAAATAAAGCCTCGGGGTACCTAGCCAAAAAATGCCGTCCATGTAATTGCTCCAAATATCACGTGTTAGATCTGTCCAAAATTTTTTATATTTAATTAAATGGAAAGACCATGTCGAATTAGTACCTTGAGGAATCCTGAGCCACAATAGACTGCTTACTTTAGGCAAGTTGAGGATCTGAGACAACCCAGACATATTAAGGTTACAGGACTTGTATAAATTATAGTAAGGTTAAGATGTCATCATGTTGAGATTCTCTAAACACGCGAGGGTACAAGTTTAGCAGCTTTCTCAACTGCTTTGACATAAAAATATAATCTCCAGAGTGTTACATTATCCTGAAAAACATATTCCAGATATAGTCAGAAATCCTAACAATCTTAAAAAAGTTTATGACTGCCTCTACCTGTTGCTCCAAGTCAACAGAAACTTCATCACAAGATCCTTCTTCTGCTTGCTTATGACGTTTAATGATTTCTACTACCCGGTCAAGGCTTCCAGATGGTAACTTCTGAATCAAAGTTTTAAGATCTTCTTCTCAGCAAGAGTCATAGGCCTGTCAGTTGGGGGTTCACATTAGGAAGCAATAGACATGATAACCAGTACAATGAAGAATCTCAATGTGATGAATTTTTCCTTATGTTGACAACACTGTGCCAGTATTACTGTTACTGACATGACTTAACCACATTCCTCTTCTCCTACCAACAGAAGTTTAATAAAAGTGATGATATTATGACTAAGATGAAAATAACTTAACAAAACTAGAATTTCCAGATAAATTTCATAAAATTAGTTTCATTTTTTTTACTTTCCATCAAAAGTGAGATATTTATTTGTGAATCCGCATTTTTTTTTTTCAGAACATGGATAAAAGTAGAAATTTGCAAATGCATTTAGCATTTTTTGGGTGGAATTCACTTGTTCTAAACAAAGCCTAAGTTTAGCCTCATCATAAACCATATACTTACTAGTTAATAGTTTGCTTTCATGCAACAAATGACAGATCTGATTTCCCACAAAACAAAGAATACCTGCACTTGGACATCACAGTATTAAGAAGTTCTTCAAGTTGCAGTTCCATGTGCCCTAGCTTGAGGAAAATAATCACAAAAGTTCAGTAATCCACTGAAAATGAGCCAACATGACGCTCAAGAATTCGGAAATTCTGTTGCTATAGGACAAAGGCTTTCAGAGAATTACTGTTGCAGAAAGCTCAGCAGAATATTTCTTCATTGCCTCCTCAACCTGATGACCATCATTCTCCAGGAGGAATTGCAAATCGTCATCCAACTAAACAGAATGTTAAGAGAGAAAAAGCCACATGAGTTGGTAATATCAAATGCAAGCAACAACAGAGTCCATGAAAAAGCATACAAGACAGTTATTAAAATAACAAATAGAAGAAAACCTAATTATATATACAACAATAGGCATTATAGAATGCTGCGAAAAGGAAAACTAAAATAGCTTATCATGGTCATCTTGTAGTTAATGCTTGTCTGGTATATTCATGTGCAAGTATGGAGTGTATGGTTGTCCTTGCATGCATATTATGCATGACTGCATGCATGAGAGCATCTAGGATTTCTTCAACTTTTTTCTTCCAATAATTGCAATAATCAATAAACACCAACTATAGGTCCAGTTGCAACAATGTTGTCTTGAAGCAAACTACATGCGTCGTTCTTACCTCTCCATTTTCTTCATCAGCACCAAGGTGCATACCGGAATGAAATGTTTGTTCCTTTCTGTAATCAATTCCACAAGCATCACAGAGATACTGGAAAAGGGAAACATCAAAATTAAGATGTCAATAACTTGCACTGGCATGCATGTGAGAGATCAATGCATTGAAGAGAGGGTGTGTGCGTGCGTGTGAATAACATACCAATTCACAGAAGATAAGTAACCCACATATAGACCAGTTACCTTAGGCCCATCTGAACCATTCCCCAAATGGAAGGTTTCTGTCGACCGACAATGAATGCAACGCTTCTGAACAACATTGGATCTTCCTTTGTTTGACAAGGGTACATCTGAAGATTTGAGATCACTGTGTTTGGAAGTTGAAGCCTGTAGTTGAAAGTAAATTCAAATGAAATTGTTCAGCATGGAAGATAAATAATATGTGCAGAGACATGGTAGTTGACGGAAAAGAAGTTCAACCATAACTCTCCTATGCATATGATGCAAAATGATTACTTGGGATTTATGGATTTTCTGTAATATTTTTTAATTTCTTTCTGTTTGGGAGTACTAATTGCTTTTCTCTTCCCTAGTTTCTTTGATGGGGGCCGAGGCTGTTACTTTTACCACTAATCCCTAAAATTGAGCATCAGGAGGCAAGTTAAAGAATCTAAAGCATGGAGTGTCATTTTGAGCTTGTCATTGCTTATTTAGCTTAGCTAGGAGTTTTTCTTGCCACTGTGGAGGCATTTAAAATCGGAACGTGTGTTCTTTTAAGGCAGTTTAGCCACTTGGAGAGAGCAATGTTTTTTTAGTATTTTGTGCTATGCACATGCAGCTTCGCAGTTAACCGTTACAACAATAGTTATTAACTATGACCCGATGGAGGTAATTTTACATTTGGAGAGTTTTCATAATGATTAACAGTCTTCACTTTAGAGTTCATGGATCTTTTGGCCCTTCAGCTAAAGGGGATGGTTTGAGGACCTCGCCATTATAGAGCTAGTGGAGTTAGGTGGTGGTCGTTTAAATGTAAAAGTTCCTGTGTAAATTTTTCTTTGTGCTAGTGAAAGGTTTGTGGCCCTCTTGTTGGATGAGCATGTCTTCTTTCTCTTTTGCTTTTGACTCATTCTTTCTATCTAATTTTTTGCATTTACTGTATACTCTCCTTTTTCCACTTTTGTTTGCTTGTACGCATCTTAGATTCTCAAGTGCCTATAAACAAATATTGCAACCTATTAATAATTTCCTTTTACACTCATGCCCACAACAGATCTTGATGTGTTGCAGCCCACTGACAGCTGTGAAGATACCAACTAATCTTCAACTCGACTAATTACATCATTAGAAACAAATAAGAAAGTTAAGCAAATAGAATTGGCATCAATTACACCTGGGTTGAAATATTTGCTATTGTCTCTCCTCCTCAGGAACCTTGTTCTCAAAGTTGAACCATGCTTTCTGTTTGAGAGTACATTAAAGCTTTCCTCTCACCTAGTTTCTTTTATGGGGCCCGAGGCTGTTACTTACACCACAAGTCCCTAAAATTGAGCATCAGGAGGCAAGTTTGAGAATCTAAAGCATGGAGTGTCATTTTGAGCTTGCCCTTGCTTATTTAGCTCAGCTAGGAGTTTTTCTTGCCACTGTGTGGGCATTAAAATTGGAATGCGTGTTCTTTTAAGGCAATTTAGCCATTCGGAGAGAGCAATGTTTCTTAGCATTTTGTGCTATGCACATGCAGCTTTGTTAGTTAACCATTACAACAATAGTTATTAACTATGATCCAATGGTTGAGAAGCAATTTGTCATTTGGAGAGTTTTCGTTATGATTAAGAGTCTTCACTTTATAGTTCATGGATCTTTTGGCCTTTCAGCTAAAGGAGATGGAAGTTAGAGGACCTTGCGATTGTAGAGCTAGTGGAGTTAGGTGGGAGATCGTTTAAATGTAAAAGTTCCTTAGTAAATTTTTTTTTGTGTTAATGAAAGGTTTGTGGCCCTCTTGTTGGACAAGCGTGTCTTCTTTCTCTTTTACTTTTGACTCATTCTTTCTATTTATTTTTTTGCATTTTCCCATATACTCTTCTTTTTCCGCGTTTGTGTGCTTGTACGCATCTTAGATTCTCAAGTGCCTATAAACAAATATTGCAACCTATTAATAATTTCCTTTTAGACTCATGCCCATAACAGATATTGATGTGTTGCAGCCTACTGACAGCTGTGAATATACCAACTAATTCTCATTTCAACTAATTGCATTATTAGAAACAAATAATAAGCAACAGAATTTATGCTAGATTTAAGCAACAGAATTTATTCTCTCTTTGGCAGTGAGAAGGAATTTGAAACTCTCTAAGTTCTAGGGAACATAATTGTCTATCTAATTTTCACCTCTTGGTATGCTAAGTTCAATTTTTCTGAGTTCAATCAGTTTTTTGCCTTTGACCTTGTCCTCATATTTGGTGAATCGTGGGTCTTTGACTTTGCAGCTTCTGATAAGCTGATTAACAATGAGCGTGGAATCACTTAAGACCTTGGCAAAAGGAGGTTGGATCCTTCTTTATTCCTTAAGACTTATGAGCAGTGGTTCAAACTCAAGTTATTTGTAACCAAGAAGGTGATATGGATGGTGACGTCAATCATCTTTCCTAAAGGAACTTGAGAAACCATCCATAGAAAATTGCCATGTATAGGGAGCGTTTGACTTGATCCAAGTTGCAGTGTGGAAAATCATTTTTCTCGCCACTCCCTGAAGAGTTGAATGGAATACATGACACGGGACGATATAGGGAGCCTCATGGA